AGAGTATAAGAATGCGTTAATTTCGTTTTGCAGAAACACCAATCTCCACCGAAGATTTCGTTTTCCCGTCAAATATTTCCATTTTTTTTTTTAAATATATTTTACCACTTACAATGGACTTCACCGAAACCGTGGATGAGTTCGCAGGTAACATTTTTTTTTAGTGTAATAAGGGATTTTAATTTTAAAAATATAATTTTGTTAAAATTTATGGAGAAATATTTTGTTATTTGTTGGATTTTACTTAATTTAAATATGAATTAATTGATAACTCAATAAACTTATAAATATTGGGTGATTCATTCAAAGTATCGGGTTGCTCATAAAAAAAAATTAGACTTCACTAAAATAGTTACTTTCAGATTAAATTATAAAAAGACTTGGAAAAAGGCGTATGGACCGTTTGCTTTAATTTTTTACTAATAATTATTAAAATTTAATTAAATGAATTAAATATTTTTTATTATAAATAATTATTATTATTAAATATTAATTATTAATTATTAATTATCGATTATATTTAAACAAATAATTCAAACAATGTCTGAATATTTATTTAATCCTCTTTATCAAATGATTCATAATTTCCCATTTGTTACAAGGTTTTTTTTTTTCCTTTCTCAATTTCTCTTGATTTTCATTATTGTTGATTCTTTTAACCTATGCTTTTAAAAATATCTTTTTAATATTAATTGTTATTAAAAAATAAAATTTAATAATTATTTATTTATTTATTTAATTAAAATAATACATATAATATTAATAATAAAATTAATATAAATTTTTATATTAATTAATATTAAAATTATATTAATTATATTTTTTAGGAAGAGATTAGATATATATATATATATTTAAATCCGGAATTGACAGTTGTTTGTAGTAGTGGCATTCGAGTGTTTCTCTTTTGATGCGACGTCACTGCCGACGTATACGATGTCGTTTATTTATTTATTATTTGGACCAAGACATACACGACGTCGTTGTCAAGGCCAGTCTGACGAAGTTAAAATGGGAGCAGAGAGAGGCATAACTGGTTTACATGCAATGGAGATCTTCTAGAACGATTATTTATTATTATTATTTTTTTGACAAGGGTAATTATTAAGAATTAAGAGTTAATACATTTTGATAAGGTTTTGATCACTGATCAAGATGCATTCCACTGACAATTCTTTTAAGCTGCAGTGATAATTAATAAACTACAACAGGAGAATGCTTTAAAACGATTATTAAAACAAATTGTCGAGTGAAAAAAAATATATATATATATATATATTTTAAGTACAAGTCCAAGATCAATGATTTCGACCATATATATATATATATATATTTTAAGTACAAGTCCAAGATCAATGATTTCGACCATCCTAAAACAAGTCACCAAGATCGACTATTGCCTTACGCCAAACATAACCGAGGTTAAACGATTGAATGAGTGAAGTTGAAGTCTTCTTTTTTCAGTTGCACGATAGTTAATTACGGTCAAATTGTACCTAATTGATCTCTTTTTTTAACAGGGGAAACGGAATTCCTTGGATTGAAGAATTTGGCTCCTTGTTTTAACAGGGGAATCAAGAAGGGAGAGAGTATAGCATGCTCTAAGTTGGGTAACTTTTTGTTTGAAGGTTGAGGAGGAGGCAAAGTGAAATCGTTTTTATCAGTAGCTGACACAGTGAATAGCCTCAAAGGTGAAGGGCCGATGGCGGGTCCAATGTAACACACCTCCCTAGGCACCCTTAATCCTAGAAGAGTTCGAAAATAAAATTTATAATAAAGGATTGCAGCGGAAATAAAAACACTTTTGAAAAAGAAGATCATAAATACCTGTAAAGGAAAACCACTTTAACAAGTCAATATATATATATTGGAAAATGCCAAAATATTCAAAGCTATAAATAAGCCAAGTTAAACTCATTTATAATTAATTTAAAAGTTTTATACATAAAGCTAATTTAACAAAAATTATACGAGGCAAATTCTTCTTCAAAGCTTTTCAAAAAAACAAAAGCTGAGTCATGGTTTTGGTAACATATCGATCTGCCTCTCTATCGAAAACACGAGGCCCTAGCTGGTACATACAACGAGCATGCAAGTCCCGTGCCAAAAGCTCCTAAACTGAGATGCTGCTACTCAATCTACTGATCTGAAATGGGGGGGGAATTTTATGAGCTCACAGCCCAGTAAGTAATAAGTTTAGGCTATAAACTTGGGTCCTAAGACCCTTAGACCTATCCACACAAAGAGCATAAGACACAACGGAATCAAATCATAAGCACAATGTCAAGTAATAATCAATGACATTTAAACTGAATTCATATACTAAAGTCATATGCTCACAAATACGATGTCACATGCGCAATGCATAAAAATCGAAAATCACACAATGCTATGGAGTCCACTGAGGTGTGCTAGCAACACTGTACCGGAGCTAATCACGGTACTAACCCTACTGCGTAGAGGTCCACTGAATACCTCGAAGGGTCCACTAAATACCCCAAGCTTTAAGCTTAGGTCCACTTACTCCATAGCCACAAACACATACACATGTCAAACAAATTCATAATATGTCCAAAATAATATTAGGATTTCCTATTAAAAGAGATCAAAGCATAATGCGTGAACAATAATCGGTGAACAGTAATCGGTGAACAGTAATCCTTGAACAGTAATTTTGAACAGTAATCCGTGAACAGTAATCGATGAATAGTAATCCGTAAAATAATCCAATTTCCTTCTAATTTCTGCAGCAAAAATCACACCCAAAGCAAACAATAGAAAAGACTAACTCACTAATTTTGCCATATAAGCCCAAAATTAATGATATTTCTAATAAAAGTTTAATACCCAAAAACCTTATAAATCAAAGGATTAAAATCAAATCTTACTAATTTAAACTACCCAAAACTCTAACCCAAAATTCATAACTAAAACTTATACTTACCTAACAAAAGCACCTTAACCTTGGTGGAGAAAGGAGGAAGAAAATGATGTGGGTGGAAGAGGAAGGCATGAGAAAGCAAAATGAGGCTTTTGGGAGGCTTCTGGAGGCTTATCCAAGCTTCCACCGACAAGACCAAAAAACTTGGTTGGGAAAATGCCATGGTAAGCAAAATTGGTATAATTGAGTTATGGTCATTCAACTTCTACTTAATTCTACTTAAAGCCCCCAAACTTTAAATTCAATCAATTTAGTCCCTAAAACTATAAACTAAAGGACACTAATTCTTAAATTATTCACTAAGGTATGTGGGGTGTTACATCCAACCTATGATCAGTAGGGTTCTTGTGATGGATGGTCCATGACCTAATTAACTTCCTTCACAAATCTTGATTTACAAATTCTAATTAAGAATG